AGCAGCAACTCACGGGGTGCCGCCGAACTGAAAAGAACACAAACAAAAATCGACTCAAACCATCACTGTCCATTGTAGCAAACGCACACACACACACTGGTACAGACAGGCGGACACACACACACCACTAATGCCAATTTCTGATTTCGAAAAAAAGCGATGAGAATGCGCACAATATTTCCCGAAATGTGTACACTGCTCCGAAGGCCATTTCTGATATGCATCAGGGCAGCAGCAGCAACACCACAGCACGAAAGCTAAATCTACACATTTTCTACAAAAATGCGCCATAGAAACTTTTAAAAAATTATTTTGACTCATCTAATCTATGTCATTTACTCGCCTAGTCGATGAAACCTCAGCTAAGAGAACGAGTAATAAGCGCTCAAGGTCACCGTGCTCCAAAACTGGCAACACTTGCGAGTGGTGATGCTCAACATACACCAAAAAGGCATCACGAAACAGCTAAATCCTTGCCAAATGCTTCGATAAAAAGGACCGCTGAACTGATAAACCCTTTATGAGGTCATCAGCCGCCGCCAGCAGCATCGGTCAAAGCAATTACAAAAACCAAAAAGAAAAGAAAAAGAACCTTAATATAAATCACAATAAAAAAAAGAACCTTAATATAAACCATAAAAAAAGGAACCAAAATAAATTAAAAATTCTTACAACTACTTTACGTATTTAACTTACCCGCATTCCTTTTGTGCATTCGTTTTATGTCACTCATATTTTATAATACTGGTCGTTTTCAACAATGACGGAGTCAAACTGAACTAGACAGAAACACATCATTCACTGCAAAAATCCTTCTTAGTTAAAAAATTCTTCCTTTTTTCGCCCCTCCCCCTCTCCCCTCCTTCTCTTTTCCTCGATTTTTCTTACAGATACTAAATCTCTGTGATGTCCACTACTTTCAGTAAGCATTTTATCTCAAATTAAATATAACGAGATAGAACAATGTACAAACAGACACCGGTAACAAAAAAGTTTTTTCAGTTTGTCTCCATTTCTTCCTCTTTTATTTCTTTGGCTTCTGCTGCGGCAATTTTGCTGCTGGCTGCAACGGGTGCGCGGATCAGATGTGCTTTCTTACGTGCCCGCTGGAGCTCGCCAATGCGTTTGATTGTTTTGCCGGGTTGTAGGCTTTTCTTGATATGCTCACCGTATCGCCTCTCTCTTATCGTTAATATTTCTTTCGCAGCACCAACTGTAAATCACACGTTTGGATCAAAAACAGTTTAATAGAAATCGGTTTACAACAAAATCTGGAACTTATAGAAAGTACCTTATCGGTAAGATATTTCACTGAGGTCCTAGAGTGGTAAGGTTCGGGATGAGACGATTTCGTTGTACACACAGCAAGGACATTTTTAAGCGGCTAAAGCTTACCAGATGTTTCTGCAAAGTTATTGTTGAGCCATTCAAGAAGTGGCAGGATGATCACCAGATGATACAGCACTGGTCAAAGCCACTGGTGGATCCAGAGGGCGGGGGGGGG